TCACTGCCTTATTTCCTCTACCCAACCCATTTTTTCCATCAATTCAATTTCATCCTATCAAGAACATTTTAAAATTGAAAATAAATAAATAAAAATAAATGAAATATCTTCAAAATTGACAATAGCCGGTGATGGCCGTGGTATATCTAACATTTTTCATCATGGTGTTAAAAATTAAGTTAAATTTTTTTAAACAACAGAACATTAATGAAAATATTTCTATACATTACTATAAAATGTTGCATACTCATTTTCATACTTTGAAAACGTCGTATATTAATATTATTATCAATATTATCAAACACATCATTTTTAATATATATAGTTAGACTATTATTGGATTATCAATCTCCAATTCGATCATGTGGTTGATTCTTGACAATCTTCATTGCAGAAAATACTTTTTGCACCATAGTAGTAGCAATTTAAAGAATTAATGCTAATGTTACATGACGTAAAGGATGGGTATACTTCATTTTTTTTTATTATAATCAACTTTTGTACAAGATAACCAAAGACTCGAATCCTTCAAAAATTTGTTAGTGCACATATAAATAATTTGTTCATCAAGTGCCAAAATTCCTACTGGTGTAAAATTCTATAATAAAACACACAACTGAAATAATTTGTTTTTATCAAATAAAAAAAAGAAAAGAAAATGAATTATTTAGAAAAGAACATATGACACAAATGAATAAGTCTTTATTTACCTCCAAAATCTATCATTTAACTCCTAAAATATCATATCGATTACATCATAAGAGAATTTCATACAAAAGAAATGCAAATTTGTCTTCCTTGAGTATTACAGTGTGAATGACCTAAAAGTATAAACATTTTATCAATGTTTAAAACATCAATATTGTGCTTATTACCGGAAAGATGATATCTTTTTGAAAAAGAATCTTATCCATTGTATCTCATTTTCTAGAATTATTTTTTATTTCATATCTCTAACCTCATGGTATTGAAATAATTTGATCTTTTGTTGGTAATTCTTTAGACAAGGAAAAATGAGAATTGTATTTTGAGAATGACAAACGTAGGTAGGGGAGAATGAATTCGGAGCTTGAGAAAAGTTGGGAGGCAGAAAGTGATAGACATGGGAAAATGTGAAAAAAATACAAAAGAATTAAAAATCTGTGTAAGAGGAAAAGAATTACTTATAAGTAAAAAAATCGATAAGTAAGAAACTCAATTATATGAAAAAAAAATATGCTATATAAGTAAATTATGCATAAAAAAATTTATTATGAGTAAAAAAAATAGGGTAATAAGCATAAAACGTGTTCACCATCTAATGTTATTATACTAAACGTCTATACCTTTCATTTTTGGGCACTTATTCTTGTCCTCGTCTTTTATTGCGAAAATTATCATTTTCATCAAATTTCTCGTATAAAATGACAAATATACTCCTTATTAAAATAAAATAATAAAAAAGAAAAGAAAAGCTAAAGAATAAATTGCAATCATACTCTCAAACCTTTTAAAAATTGTAAATGAGTCCAAATAAATTATTAAATGGCTAATTAGCACAAATCGTTCATACCTTTCATTATTATTGTACAAAATGTCCCTACTTTTCATTTTTGATAGTTTCACCCTTATTTTTATGTTTCATTGCAAAAATCATTATTTTCATCAATTTTCTCAATTAAAAACTGTAAAATGATAAATATACCCTCTTCTTTAAATAAACAAAAATAAAGAAAAAAAATAAAAAACAAATTGCAACTATACTCTCAATTTTTTTTAAAAAAAAAATACAAACAAATTTTAAATAAATAATTAAAAAACAAAAATCACTTTCTTTTTTAATTATTTATTTGGAATTTATTTGTACTTTTTTGAAAATTTTGAAAATATAATTTTTGTTTATTTAAAGATGGTGTATATTTGTTATTTTATAGCTTTTAATTGTGAAAATAGATGAAAATAATGATTTTCGTAATGAAATATAAAATAACGGTGAAAATGTCAAAATATTAAAATGTATGGACGTTTTGTATAATAATAATGAAAGATAGAAACGTTTTGTGCTAATTGCCCTTTTAATAATTTATTTAGAGTCATTTGCACATTTTAAAAAAGTTTGGTAGTATGATAGCAATTTACTCTTTAACTTTTCTTTTCTTTTTTATTATTTTATTTAAATAAGGTGTATATTTGTTATTTTACACGAGAAATTTGATGAAAATGATGATTTTCGCAATAAAATATGAAGGTAAGGGTAAAAGCGTCAAAAAATGAAAAGTAGAGACGTCTTGTACAATAACATTAAAATATAAGGAGTTTTGTGATAAAAAAAAGTACAAATAAAAGATATTTTAATAATTTTCCATTTTTTAGTACTTGTACATTTTCCTAATATTGTATAATACCAAATTTAAGGATGACATAAATTTTCTCCCCTAATCCATCCCTCATTGTCCTACATCTCATGTGAAGGGAAATCATGCCACAAGTGGTAAACGAGGCAACAGCAAAGAACATGATCCCTCCCCTAAATTCCTTGATCCCGCACTATTTTTTTTTAGTTTTCAATTAAATCATATTTTTAAAATTAATTAATTAATAAATTAAACTAAATGGTAAAAAGAGTAATTTTAATAATAGTCCCGCTCTCCACTCGTGCTCCACATCTTGAAAATTCGAGGTAGGCCCCTCTAGCTCCTCCGTGTTGTCATTCTTAATTAAATAATACAGTATAATTACTTTAATGCAATCTTATCTAATCATGGCTTGTAATTTCATCAAATCCAACACTCAAAATTTATCTACTAAAATACTAGAGAACTCACAAAACAATCTCCAAACACTCCTAATTACCTTATCAATCCCTAAAATAGCTCCATAACCAACTTGATTTTGTGTCAATCTTATGCCATTCTCCATCCCCGTCATCTTCTCTTTGGCATAATTGAATCTCCAAACCACCGCGTCATTTTTCAAAATTCAAATCATGGGTAGATCAAAGCAATATGCAAAAACCCATGATGCAAAACCCAAAACTGTACTGCTTCTGTATCTAAGCGCTTGTATGGGTAAGCTGATCCGCGAAATTGTGACCGTTGAAAATGTCCAGAGCCGAGTCCCACACACTTGGTCTACATATGACAATTGAAAAATGGTTTGTGTGAATGGACAATTTTGACCATTTCGGCATGCAATCTCACTGTTGAGGCTAAAAGAAACATTTACAGCCTTTCTAAAAATTATCTTTGACCTTTTTCATACATGGGACCCACCCAAATGCCCAAAAACGTGGGATTGCACACGTAACACAGAAATAAAAAAATTGCAACGCCTTCTCTCATAAATCGGCCATGCCCAAAAACGTACTCGTTCCATACGTAAAACATAAACGAAAATCGGTTGAACACGAGAATAATAATTTGCCATTTATGTCAACATACAACACTCACAATGAAAACATGACTTACCCATACTTGAACTGATTACTGGAGATACAACTATTGAACGAGAATAGAAACTATGAAGCGCGTCCACCACTCTGAGCCAACCAATCACCAAAACAATCTCAATCGTTACGCTGCATTTCCGGTGTGTTCATCTCAGCGGCGACCTGTTTGTGTGCGTCCGGTAGTTCTACCTCTGTTGTGTTGGGATCCGTCTCAACTAGCGTGAATGAATCGTCAACCACTCCTGCCCATCGGAGGAAGTTGTGGATGCCCATGGTCAACAATACAACTACGATCTGTACTTGAAAATTGTAGCGCGACATAAGATTCAGTTTTTTCCACCAACTTTTTCATACACCGAATGCCTGTTCGATTATGTTTCTACAACACGAGTGCTTGAAGTTGAATCGCTCACGCACGTTGCAAAAATTTCTCGTCCGAACCGTCTGAGTGTCGTAGAATTGCTGGAAATGGTACAAAATATCTAACCCCTTATACGAAGCCATGTATCCAGGTCTATCAGCAAATCCTGAGTCCACAAGATAGTATTTTTTAGGACCCGACAGCAGGAAATGAATTTCTGGACCATGTATGGCGCGCGCTAACATCCGTGCATCATGCGTCGTCCCCGCATATCCCACAAACACAAACGTAAAACACAAGTTGAAATCATATGCGGTAAGAACATTTTGTGTTGGGATTCCTTTGCGTTCGATAAAATCCACGAGTTCATTCCGAGGCAAGACCGCTCTGACGTGCGTCCCGTTAATCAAAACAATGTAATCTTGGAACGACGGATGCTTGTCTGAATCCGGTATGTGATTGTACTGTAGATCTGATCTTATGAGACTCGCACTAAATTCAAGAGTTGCCTACAGCACGTGCTTGAAGTAGTGGCCGATTGTTTCCAAAGAATGGTTGAACAGCGTTTGAACCTGTCGGTACCGTTTTCCATGTGCTAATATGCACAGAAACATTTCAACTTGTACATACATGTCTATGTGCTGGCAGCTGCATAGTCTGTAGTTGTCCCGGACTATGTGTGTGAGTCTTCTAAGCATGGGTAAGCATATCCTAAATTCTGCGTAGCACTGCTGAGGACTACATTGCATCGCATCGTGCATGAACATGTGCCAGTTCCTTGCGAATGGAAATCGAGTAATCTGACGTATCTACCAATGGTAATAGTGTGCCACATCAAATTTCGCCATCCAACAATACCGAAACCACTTAACAATATCATTTTCAAGCAGTTGCATGAATTCCTCTTCACCAATCTCATCTTCGTTATCAGATAAGAAGCACGCAGTTGAGCTCCAAATGCGCCATTACCAAAGTCCCTCGCTATGTTGGAAAATTCCCTACCTACTTGGAAGGTAAGAAGACAGTAACATTTCTCTCACTCTCTCTCTTTATCAAATGAGCATAGTCATTCGTTGCTGCAATGAAAGTTGCGATGTTTCCCTTATAAAGAATTACTTAATAATGCAATAATACAACTGCTGAAATTATTCTCTGTGCAGTTTGACAAAAATGTGAAGAGATTCCCCTATCTATTGAACTTTATAGCATAGATAGGTTGTCAGAGATGCTCAATTATGCATGACAATTGTTGACAAACTCAAACTAACAAGCAGTTTTGTGAACATTGTATAAGTACAAACGACAAACATGGACATGAAATCTCAGTAGTTCCTACTACATACATGGATACAAAAAATACACGACAACAACATTTTGAAGTTGACGAATCGCAAACCAACTAAAACGAAAAAAATAACAAAGCAAATACTCGTTCCACGAAGACCCTCTATAACGTTTAAAATTTATTCAGCCCCGCACGCAGTTCTCATTGCGGTCGTCTTTTCCTATACTCGTGCCAGTTCTACTCCAACCAATCCATTTTCTCGTTCGCATCCTCCTGCATCTCGAGAACCTCCATGTTCCACTTTAAAGACAGAAACGTGCAGGTCCAAAAGTAGAGGTAAGTTTACTTTTGCATCATGCGCGTTGCGAACAACTCTTTCATGCATGTCTTCATGCTCGGAACATTGGATCCGACTAAGTTGTGGCTCAATCAACTGAGTACGACAATTCCTTAGCCGATATTTTAGTTCTCTTTTCCTTGCTTTTACTGTCTTCGGATCTACGTTTCTCTTCACTCCTACGGTCGGAGACGTCCATGCTTGATGTGGACCTGTCTAACTTGTTACCCTCATCATTGGAGCCGCTGCTCTCTTCGTACATCGGCATTGTATCACGCGTGTCGTCGTTTGCACTGTCTTCGAACATAGCAAACCCAGTCCTGCACAGCTTCGTCAACGTCGTTGCATACTTCTCGCTGTCAAACGTGTCGACGAACAAAAGTCGATAGGCATATGTCTCTCTACAGTCTTTGTCTTTGAACTCTTTGTTCTCCTATTCAGAATGGAAGAAAAAGAAATGCACAACGAGTAAGGAACCGCGTAAGGAATAAAAATATAGAATTACACAACTAAATGTTATGACATAAGCTCCAATTGCGACATGTTTGAGTAAAACTTCCATGCACAAATGAAACAAATACTAGGGTGCTGGTTAACATTCGAATTTGGAAAGTGGCAATTCAAGCAGATTTGTACCTTAATCTTTTGCACCCACCACTCATCGGACTCGACTAGGTGGTCACGTGCAGAGTCGTATGCGAAGTCGGTGCTATCTGTCAAGTTCTGGAGACGTTTATACTTGACCCGAAGATAATCCTAATGATTTTTCAACTGCTGCCTACTCCAATCATGCCCGGATATGGTGTTGACCAATTGGACAATTGTGTGCCAGCCATGTTTCGTGAAGCACTTCCCACTACAGTGCTCGTCGACTATTACGATCTCACAAGCGATAATGAAGACTCGATTATCTTCTGGCATCCACTGGGCAGTCCTCTTTGCACAGGCTTGGGTCGAGATTGGTTAGGGGTTGGAAGTTGAGGCAGTGTGGAAGTCCATATGCGTCTGAGAAGGAAAATGAAATATACACGAGATGCAGAGTTTTGGTACATGTATACATACAAAATTTTAAATTTATAACAACACTACAAGTATTGCCCACTAGAAAGGAAATAGAGTCTGAAAAAGAAAAAACAGTAAGTTTGGCTTGTTAGTATCGGCTTAGGAACTTATCCTGAAGAAATTGTTTTGCAAAATATGTGCAACGAAGTCTTAGAACAAGTAACATAGATGTGCAAGTCGTCGGACATGTGATGCAGATTCAATAATAAGAATAGAACATGATTTCAAATTCTCGTCATTCCAGACCCCATATGAAAGAACCTAAAAGAATTAATCAACAAAAAAATACTAACATGAACCCTGAGAAAACAAATTGAGCACTGAAAACTGAAATCAAAACGAAGGAAACATGTAACGTCAAAAACAATCTTTCTCATTGCATATCCTTATTAAAAAGCAAACAAAACATTATATCACAAATTCATGCGTTCCCATTCCAAAACAAACCTAGGAATCCTCTTTGCTCAATAACATATAATTATACCATAAACGCCATTAAAAAATTTCAAAAATTTAGTACAAAACAATATTCCAAGGAAAATTACAAACACTTGTAATTACATAATGAAGATCAAAATTCATATAAATCCCCGATTCGAAAACATTTAGAAGCATATTATAGTCTGATTTCTTTACAAAATTGAAAAAAAGAAGGAATCAAACAACAAAATTTTAAATTCTAGTTCCAATTTATATGCGTAAGTCAGAATATTAGGATACTTCACCAAGAAAAGGGTAAGTGCAGGAGAAAATCAAGAACTGTTGCTATGTTGTAGATATCTTATGTTACTAAACAGATAGCTCAAAGTTAATATTACTTTTACGAACTATTTTGCCATCATCACGTATTTTGTAAGAGGAATTCGATTTGTAAAACCATAGAAAAAGAAAGGTAGATTTTCGACACTAATCGAGGTAGAATATGGATACATAGTTCTCTTGAACCTGTAGGGAATTTCCAGTCAAATCCACGCCGTCGTCGCCGATGAAAGAGGAAGAAATTATTGGCCGATTGGGGAATTTCGTTTCTATAAAAATGGGAGAGTGGGGGTTTGAGTGTGAGATGTGGAAGGGTAAAATTAGAAGGCTAGCCACAGTAAGGAGCAAGTGGACTAATTTGTTGTCTAGTTGTTTAACAATATTAAATCAGAATCTACTGTGTCAACGGTCCATTAATTGCTTGGTAGCGTGCCTAGACATGCGATGAATCATTATTGTACTAAAAAATTGGTTAACTGAGAAACTTCTTCTGTAGGACACTATATGTCAACTCCACTACAACATTGAGATCTCTCGAATATACTTTCTAGAACATCATTAGACGATTTATGGTAATTGATTCAAAGTTTAATTTTCCTCACTTTGTAAATTTTTTATTTTCGTGTGTCATATGTTAGAAATTGTTCCCAAGCATTACATTTGGCAAAATTTCGAGAATTATATGAAAGCTGGCAACACAATTCTCTATACAAAATTCCCATACTTTTGTTGATGTACATAGTGCACTATATGGTTCCCATGCCATAATAGTATTGCTTGATTCATTTGTGATTGTGTTATTATTTAGTTCAACAGGAAATAATTTTAAGCATGGCAAATTTTGTTTTAAAAAAAATATAGGTATTGCTCGTCCAACAATAAATTTGATTACTAGTAATTTTTTACAGTCAATATCATTGAATAATTCTTCCAAGTTTATTTTGTAGATGGATCCAACTAGTTGTGGCAATTGTATAGATATGTTCCAAACTGACGAGACTAGGTCATCATCAATACAACACTGAGCACCTTACGTTGGGATGAAATTCAAGACAACAGAGGAAGCAAGGGCATACTATGATGATTTTGGACGACAAAATGATTCTTGGATTTGTGCTCAAATAGTGGTTAAGTCGCGCCCATGTATAAATGAAGTTACCCTTATTAAATTTGTTGTGAGCCCACATAGAATAGTAGTTCCGAAACCCACAAAAATTTGAATCAACCCAAGAAAGCCAAGAATATGTTGATCCAAGAATAATAAACTAAAGAACCAACACAATTACCGACAATATGTTGACCATGTGATCACAAGATTTAGGAATCTCACCCGAATTGCTAGAACACCACAAGAAACATCTTGATAGGTTCAGAATCAACAAGGAATTGAAAAGCAAAATTGCTTACAAAATAATCTCTTGATTTGATATATGAATGAATGTTCTTTACAATGTAAAATAAAGAGTCCAATTTATAGGGAACTCATACAACCATATTCTAAATGAATTTAAAGTCTAAATATTACAAAAGTTACCAAAAAAAGAGTTTTAACTTAAATAAAAGATCTCGCAACCACAATCAACTATGTGGCCACATAGTGTACTTCTTTATGGTCACATAGACCATGCAAAATTATTCCAGATAGCCTCAGTATTGAAGCATGCCGTTTGGCAACTATGTGGTCGCATAGTTGACGTCGCTTGAACCAAGTTGATATATCGCGATTCCTCTTCACGACCATATGAAACTTGCTCATTTACTTGCCATGATCAATCTTTCATCCACCAAGGCTTGGGTAAGTAGTTCCATCGCTTCTTTGATCCTCTTCGCTCGTGACCTAGTCATAGAACCTTCTTCAACGGTCAATAGATCCTTACTCGGACTTGCCTTCGTTGCTTGGATCGTACCATCCCCTCATTCTTCCAAAGGATTCAACCTCGAATCTATACTTGCATCAAAGAGAGAAAGATCAAACACATTAAAATAGTTGAAACGATATACTCACTAGGAAGATCTAGTTTGTAGGCATTATTGTTAATTCTTTAATGACTTAAAATGGACCATATCTCCATGGTTGCAACTTTGATTTTCTTTGTTCTGAAAAACGTTCCTTTCTTAAGTGTACCCAAACCCAATCCCCGGGTTCAAAGAAGTTTGGTTTGGTCTAGACAGCTAAGAAGTTTGTAGGCACTACTCCTTTAAAGAATAGATCTACAATATTAATAGCATTTGGGATGGACAAAATGTCTAGACCAAACCGAATCAAACCGAACCAACTCAAACCAAGCAGTTCGGTTCAATTCTATCAAAAAAATTAATGGTTTTGGTTCGTTGAACCGAGAACCATTTGGTTTTGGTTCTAGTTCAAAAATCAGAACCAAAGCCAAATTTAATATTTAATTTTATATATAATAATTAGTGGAGATCCTAATTTTATATTCATTGAGATAGCCCATTAATTGAATACAATTTATTAATCAATTTTGGGTCATTAGCGATAAACAACTCATTAGCTGTCTACACCCTAATTTTGTATTCAGTTGAATTATTTCTCCTTCACTCTTTTTCAATTTACACAATGTCATAGCATATTGGTACCGCATTTCATCAAGTCAGTGGAGTGTCATTTAAGATCGAAAAATGAAATTGGTCAGTTATTTAAAAAGTCTCTAAACTCTTTTTTTTACCTTGAATGTTTGATGAGTTATTTGTATTCTTCACAAATAGAGAAAAACCTAATAAACATTCATGAAATATTAAACGATTAATATTACTTGTAGAAGTGGACCGTAAAAATTTTGATAATTCATTTTTTATTGTAGGAGTGTGCCTTCAAAACTATTGCAATTAATTTAGAGAATTATTGCTATTACTTATTTAACATTTTTTTGTATGACAACGAAAACTGATTTTGTATTCAAATTATGAATATATTTTATTTGTTAGTTATGACTTTTTTGATCTCGATGATTGAAATTTAAACTTCCTAAATGTTTGATGTTTATTTTCTTATTTAGGTATACATTACTAATTTATATGACACAAATCTAAAAATTTAAGAAATGAAATTAGAACCAAATCAGAACCGAACGGTTCGGTTTAGTTTGGTTTCATATATTTAAAAAAACCATTTGGTTCTATTATCAAAAAAATCATTGGTTCATGGTTTAGTTTGGTTCTCTTGGAACCAGAATCATATGGAATCATGTCCACTCCTAAGTAGCATCATCAAAATTATAACATGGAATGTGCTATTTTACTAAATCTATCTACCACCACAATTATGAAATCTCTTCCTTTCTTAGTCCTAGGTAAATCCAATACGAAATTCATAGGAATATCAATCCAATGTTCACTAGAAACATGTAAATGTGTATACAATCCTTGAGACAAAACCTTAGACTTAGCCTTTTTACAAGTTATGCATCTACTACAAATTCGATCAATATCAATTTTCATCTTAGGCCAATAAAAATGTTCTTCTAACATCGTTAAGATTTCTTAATCCCAAAATGTCTCATTAAGCCTCCACTATGTGCCTCTCTTACTAACAATTCTCTTATTAAACATTTAAGAATACAAACTTATTTGTTTGAAATAAATACTTATCATGCCTGAAGAATTTATCTATAGCTCCTTTATCACATGATTTGTATATATTAAAAAAATTCAGGTCATTAGCATATATGTTCTTAACATATTCAAATCTCAATAATTTAGTACTTAAAGAAGTTAGAAATGCATATCTTCTCGATAATACATTCGCTTCAACATTTTCTTTACTTTGTTTATACCGAATGAAGTATGCAAATGTCTCTATGAACTCCATACACTTTCCACACCTCTTGTTTAGCTTACTTTGACATCTTAAATGATTCAAGGACTCATGGTTGGTGTAAATTATGAACTCCTTTAGCCATAGGTAGTGCTGCATGTCTCCAAAGCTCAAACAAGTGCATACAACTCCTTGTCATATGTAGGATAATTGAGAGCTACTTCACTTATCTTTCCACGTAAGCTATCAGCCTTCTATCATGTATTAAAACAACTCTAATTCCTCTCACTGTGGCATCACATTCAATCTCAAAAGTTCCATCAAAGTTAGGAAGTACTAAAATTGGTGCCTTACACAATCTATCATTAATAGTATTAAATTTATGTTCTTGCTCAATGCCACATTGAAATCCTACACTTTTCTTGACAACTTCCGTGAGTGGTGTGGTAATTGTGCTAAAGTTTTTAATGAAACGCCTATAGAAACTAGCCAAACCATGAAAACTTTTTATCTTAGTTATGCTTTTAGGTGCTGGTCATCTCTTGATAGCTTAGCACTAACACCATACCTAAGAAAAATAACTTTCTCCATGCAAAATGTACAATTTTTAAAGTAAGCGTAAAATTTTTTTGTATTAAGACCACAAGCACACACCTTAGATGCTCTATATGCTCTTTTAAATCCATACTATATACCTAGATATCATCAAACTAAACTACTATGAACTTACCTATGAATGCACGGAAAATATGGTTCATTAATCGCATAAATGTGTTAGGTGCAGTAGTAAGTTCAAATGGCATGACTAACCACTCATACAATCTATATTTAGTTTTATAAATCAATTTTTCATTCATCTCATTCCCTCATTCTAATTTGATAATAATCACTTTTAAGATTAATTTTACTAAATATGCATGCGCCATGTAATTCGTCTAATATATCATTTAACCTAGAAATATGATGACAATACTTTAATATTATATTATTGATGGCTCGACCATCTACACACATTCTTCACGTTCCATCTTTCTTGGACACAAGTAGCACTGGTATGACGCATGGACTCTTACTCTCCCTCACATGCCCCTTACTTATCAATTCTCCCACTTGCCTTTGAAGTTCATTAGTCTTCTCGGAATTATGTCGATAAGCTGGCCTATTTGGAATGACAATTCCAGGTACGAAATCAATTTGATATTCAATGTGTCGAATGGATGGTAACCCACTAGGCATGTTCTCTAGGAACACGTCTTCAAATTCCTAGAGGAAATAAATAGACAAACTAGAGAAAGATATGTTAGATTCCTAAAATTAAAGAATGACTCCTTATAAACCAACAAAATCATTGGTTGCTTCTCAACTATCGCCCTCTTCAACTCATTTCCTTTTACAAAGAAATTCACCCTCGACTTTTTTCTCCTCTCAGAAAAACTCTTTTTCTTTTCTATTGGAGCTTTACTCTTTTTTCTCACTATTCTCTCTAGCTCTTTTCTTCCTCATTTTTCAATTTAATTTTATCTCCATACACTTGAGCCATTTATGGCACAAGAGTAATATATTTTCCATCCTTGATAAAGCCA